TTAATACCAATACGGACTACCCATGAGACCACTTTGATTATGAGGATGCAAACATAGTGGCCATAAAATGCTTTCGGTGCTATTTATTTTAAAGTAAAAAAAAAAAAAAAAAAAGTTTCATTCTGAGACCACAAACCACTCTGGTCTATTTATTTTATTACATATAATGTAAGAGGCGAAACAACTAGATGATCAAAGATAATTGGCTAGAGTAGTTTTGGTATATCTCTACTTTTTCCAACTTGTTGTGCCACAATCACTTGCAAAATAATATTAGCCCCGATAAATATAATTTAAGAAAGTATGGATTTTATGGGCAACTGAGAGAGAGCTTGCAATCAAAACACATCAAATTGAGTCAATAGACATGCACAATATTATCTAGTTGGTGAATATTTTGATCAAAACTCCAATAAGGCAACGAAATCTAGGAAAATAGTGTTCAATATTGTGATTATCTCTACAATTTGAAAAGAAATATTTATTCAAGAATCAATAATTGATTCATAATAGTCTAGCTTTGTAATATTTGAACATGCATTTATGAAATTCTCTATTTATCTGAATGTGAATACAGATGAAAAAGTCTTAGTGATGCTTTAACCTTGCAAGTCTTTGCGAAGTCTCTGATTTCATTTTCAGGGTAATACAGACAGTCTACTACAGACAGTTTAATAGAAAATTCTACTGGTTAGCCCCATGCTTATGGAGTTATCTTTATCTGATAATGATAATTTATCTACTGATATTTTTTAGGTTCACTCGTTCACAAGAAGACGAACAAGCATAAAACAAGAGATTAATGCTGATGAAATGGAATAAGGAGGAGTCAATTGTACCGTGAGGTGAATAGACACGATAATGAAAAAAGCTATTTATTTGAATATTCAGATTAGGAGGTCAATGTTAAAGGTCTATTTCCCAAGATTCCATTAAGGTCCTTCTCAATCTACCTAGAAAGTTAATGCACTTACGTTTATCTTTTGCCAGGGAGGAAATAGAAAATATTTATGATGTCTTGTATTAAATGCCTTTTAACGAAAGAAAGTAAAATAAATGTTCGGGTCATGTTATCGTAGGCATAACATTGATAAAATTGGCATGAAAATTTTTTGCTACACCACAATAAATACCTAGGTAAAATGTCGATATCCATTTAATTGACTCGATCTGTCGTTTACTAATCTATTTGTATCACTAGCAAACCATGCTATTGATGTGGTGAAATGTTGATGGAAATGAAAATTTCATTTTGAATACATTAACAAGCACAACAATTATATAGGTAGATATTCAATAAGGATAAAGTTAGTCGAGGAAGAAATTTGACGAAATACTTCTTCTTTAATAGATTTTTCAGTTATGTACTAGATATTATTGAAAACAAGAAGCCCGAAGTGGGTTTTCATTCATTTTTATTAATCATTAGTTGTTTTATGCTTTGAAGAAATATTAGTGCTTCGTAGTTAATATATTGGACCGTCCTTCATTTTTAGTGCAAGAAGCATCCAAGAAAGCTTTCTTTATCTTAAAAATAGTTGGGAGATTTTACCAAAGAAATTGGCAAAAAATGGAAACACTAGAACATGGGAATAGATTTGATACCAATACGGACTATCCACAAGACCAATTTGATTATGAGGATGCAAAGATAGTGGCCATAAAATACCTTCTGTGCTATTTTAAAGTAGTAGTAGTAACAACTTCCATTCTGAGACCACGAATCACTCTGGTCTATTTATTTTATTACATCTAATATAAGAGGCAAAACAACTAGATGATCAAAGATAGTTGGCTGTTGAAGTTTTGGTATATCTCTATTTTTTACAATGTGATGTGCCGTGATCACTTGCAAAAAAATATTAGTGCCGATAGATATAATTTAAGAAAGTACGGATTTTATGGCTGACTTAGAGAGAGAGCTTGCAATCAGAATACTTCAAATTGAGTCAATGGACATGCACAGTATTATCTAGTTTGTCAATGTTTTGATCAAAACTCTAATAAGGCAACGAAATCTAGGAAAATGGTGTTTAATACTGTAAATATCTCTACAATTTTAAAAGAAATATTTATTCAAGAATCAACAATTGATTCATAATAGTCTAGCTTTGTAATATATGAACATGCATTTATAAATTTCTCTGTTATCTTAATGTAAATGCAGATGAAAAAGACTTAGTGATGGACTAACCTAGCAAATCTTTGCTAAGTCTCTACTAATCCTCTGATTTCATTTTCAGGTTACTACAGACAGTCTGATAGAAAATTGTACAAGTTAGCCCCATGCTCATGCAGCTCTCTTTATCTGATAATGATAATTTATCTACTGATATTTTTTAGGTTCACTCATTTAGAAGAAGAAGACGAACAAGCATAAAACAAGAGATTAATGTTGATGAAATGGAATAAGGAGGAGTCAATTGTACCGTGAGGTGAATAGACATGATAATGAAAAAGCTATTTATTTGAATATTCAGATTAGGAGGCCAATGTTGAATGTCTAATTCCCAAGTTTCCGTTAAGGTGCTTCTCAATCTACCTAGAAAGTTAATGCACTTACGTTTTTCTTTTGCCAGGGAGGAAATAGAAAATATTTATGATGTCCCGTATTAAATGCCTTTTGATGAAAGAAAGTAAAATAAATGTTCGGGTCATGTTATTGCGGGCATAACATTGATAAAATTGACATGAAATTTTTTTTTCTGCGCCACAATAAATACCTAGGTAAAATGTCAAAATCCATTTAATTGATTGGATCTGTCATTAACTAATCTATTTGTATCACTAGCCAACCATGCTATTGACATGGTGAGATGTTGATGGAAATGGAAATTTCATTTTGTTAGGAATTTTACGCTAATTTCCTTTGTTTCTATTTACCCTCAGAATCTATTGTTGTTCAAGAAAATATTAGCCAAAAGAAGAAGAAGAAGAAGAAGAATATAACGCACAAATTAAATGGACCGTCAAAGCCTTTCACTATATGAAAATTGTTATAACCATATAAAATTTCACTCATCAACCCAATTCTCAAGTATTACAAAGAACAATAATCTTGAGCTTTGCCATACCCACTTTTCTACTCTTTATATAAAACTCTCAAGATGCTAGGCTCACAATATTTATCTCTCGGATTAACTCTCAGGCCACACCTCCAAAATAATAAATACATCTACTATTTGTAGGATCGATAATTAAGTAGAAGAGTTTAATTTCAACTCAAACAAGGACTCCTTTATGTGCAAGACTCCAAAATCGGTTGTAAAATTGGAAACCAAATTCTTCGAGGATTCTGTTCTCAACTTTAATTATAAGTCTTCCATACAATTATTACCTTTTATTATTTGCAATAGAAGTCCTCCAACTTTTGACTTTTGAGGCAATTACCCAACACATTTTGAATACATTAACAAGAACAACAATTATATGGTTAGATATTCAATAAGGATAAAGTTAGTAGATGATGAAATTTGATGAAATACTTCTTCTTTAGTAAATTTATCAGTTATGTACCAGAGATTATTCAAAACAAGTAGCGTGAAGCGGGTTTTCATTCATTTTTACTAATTATTTACTAATTTTTTAGTTGTTTTATGCTTTGAAGAAATATTAGTGCTTCATAGTTAATAAATTGGATCGTCCTTCATTTTTAGTGTAAGAAGTGTCCAAGAAAGCTTTCTTTATCTTTAAGATAGGTGGGAGATTTTACCCAAGAAATTGGCAAAAAATGGAAACACCTGAAAATGAGAATAGATTTAATACGAATACGGACTACCCACAAGACCAATTTGATTACGAAGATGCAGACATAATGGCCTTAAAACACCTTCATTGCTATTTTAAAGTAAAAACAATAATAATAACTTCCATTCTGAGACCACGAACCACTCAGGTCTATTTATTTTATTACATCTAATAAGAGGCAAAACAACTAGATGATCAAAGATAATTGGTTGAAGTAGTTTTGTATATCTCTATTTTTTCCAATGTGTTGTGCCACAATCGCTTGCAAAAAAAATATTAGCGCCGATAAATATAATTTAAGAAAGCATGGATTTTATGGGCGACTTTGAGAGAGAGCTTGCTATGAGAACACTTCAAGTTGAGTCAATGGACATGCAAAGTATTATCTAGTTGGTCAATGTTTTGATCAAAACTCCAATAACGCAATGAAATCTAGGAAAATAGTGTTTAATATTGTGAATATCTCTACAATTTGAAAAGAAATATTTATTCAAGAATCATTAATTGATTCATAATAGTATAGCTTTGTAATATTTGAACATGCATTTATGAAAAATTCTTAGTGATTGACCAACCTAGCTAGTCTTTGCACAGTCTGATACAAAATTCTACTAATGAGCCCCACGCTGATGCAGTTATCTTTTTCACAATTTTTCTACTGGTATTTTTAGATTCACTCGTTCAAAAGATGAACAAGTATTGAACAAGAGATTAATGCTAATGAAATGGAATGAGGAGAAGTCAATTGTACTGTGAGCTGGATGTGATAGTGATCAGATCAGGAGGCCTATGTTGATTGTCTATTTCCTAACTTTACATTGTTGTCCTTTCAATCTACCTAGAAAGTTAATGCACTTATGTTTATCTTTTGCTAGGGAGGAAATACAAAATATTTATGATGTCCTGTCTTAAATGCCTTCTCATGAAAGAAAGTAAAATAAAGGGTATTTAGCACAAAATGTCCATACCTTTCATGATTTTTGTGGAAAACGTCCCTACATTTCCCTTTTTGGCGCATTTCATCCCTACCTTTACCTTTTCCTGTGGAAAACATTCTTTTCATCATTTTTCTCAATAAAAAGTTATAAAATGACTAATATACCCTTCTATTTAAATTAAAAAAAATAAAGAACTAATTGCAATCATAGTTCCATGTTATCACAGGCGTGACATTGAAGGTCCCACCTTGTTTAACATCTCATCGAATGCTAAAGTCGTTAACCGAAGTTCTAATCTCCTCTCTCTCATATATATACATGTACTTGTTTCGGCCTGATGAATATTAAACTGAGGCGCAAAGATGTCTAAAGCTATTCTCATCTTTATGTTCACCTTGACGATATTACTTCTCTTCAAAGCAACAATTATTTCTGCACGGAGTGGATATCTCCCTGATGAGGAAAGTAAGGATCGTTTTTTTATGTAAACCATTTCTTTCTTTCCATTCACGTGTTTAGCTCATTAGGTACTACACTTTTTAGCCTTCCATTAAACTTCAGGTTATCCTTAAAAGTTCACTTTGATCAACATGAAATCCGATCACATTTCTATTTTAGAATAGAATTCTGATTTTTGCAGAGAATGCTCTTCGTGAAATAGCTGATCAGTTGGGCAAAAAGGACTGGGACTTCAACCTGAATCCTTGTGATAATAACTCAAACTGGAATACACCGAAACGAGAAGATATACAATGGTACACCAATTCCATCATCTGCAATTGTAATTTCCCTGGTGGTGTGTGCCACGTAAAATCAATGTAGGTTTTCTTGCTGAAAACTTATCATCTTTATCATTAGTTTGAAACTGATTTAGAAATAGCCATTTGTGCTATTATATTGCAAGGAATCAAGAATCACAGAAAATATATTCTGCTTCTATTGATCTTGAAGCAGCCAAATATGGGGTTTTCAGTATCTGATTTTGAGGCGTGGAATACCATATAATGGTTGCAAATCTGTTTGTTGATTCTTAAAATGGTATTTTATGTGGGAATTATTGTACTTTTTTCCTGCTTAAACCTCAATAGAACTTATGGTGCCTAGTAATCAAACTTGACCTTTATGACTTATTTCATATGAATAATGTCATCTAAGACCAGTTTAAATGTCACAATACAATGGGCTAAATGAAAAGGTAGTGACTCATTTAATGACAATTGGTGCCACCAAAACTGGTATTATAACACTAATGGTACTAAATAGCATTACTCATTTTATATTGCTAGACTCTCTATCTTCATCATCTTTAACCAGGATTTGCACTTAAAATATGTATAGGAATAAGCTGTGTCAGTATTATAACCATAAAAAAATAAAAAATAAATAAGAAGTTCTTTTTTTCCATTCAGTCAAGCATGCAACTTTATTTCACCATGTCAGTGTTTCAAGTTACATTCTTGATGTTAAGTTAGAGTTGAAAATGAAATAGTATAACGTTTGTAGTGTGCTCGAGAAGCCACTCTAACAAGTTGTTTTACTTGAAACACTATACATTTAGCCCCTATTTGGTAGGACTAAAATCTAGATCTTAATCTAAATAAAAATCAACAATTAATTTTAGCTGCATATTTTATAGACCCAAAACTTTTCAACTATACATTTCATCAACTTTTATCAAAATTTGCTAAAAATAATCCCCACCAAACATGGGCTTAATCTATTGTATCGTTTCTTTCAAAATCCCTTCGGAATGATTTTTTTTTTTTTTTTTTGGCTTTGTTTCTTTCACCTGTCAAGAAACTTTAATTGTTGCACTTGTAAAATTTAGATGAAAACTTTTCAATTCAGAGTATGCTAAAGATAGCCTCTTTTTCTTTACAAACAGATTTCTAAAAGGACAGGATTTGGCAGGTGTCCTTCCGCCCTCACTGGCAAAGTTACCCTACCTCAAGACAATGTAGCAAGATGTTCCAAGTTTATTTTCAATTTATTAAATCTACTCAGCTTTTTGCTTCAAAAGGTTGAGACAATTTATTGGCTACATTGATCTCACTCTGAATCTGTTGGTTGCAGAGATCTTAGTGGCAACTACCTTAATGGTACAATACCCATGGAATGGGGAGCAACCAAATTGGAGTACATGTGAGCTTTACCTGTAGCTTTTAATTGAGTTTTGGCAATGATGCAATGTCTACATCCTCTGTTATATCGAAAAAGTATGTGTGATATAGGTGTCTTTTGGTGAACCGCCTATCTGGACCCATACCGAAATTCCTGGGAAACATTACCACGCTCGTATATTTGTGAGTTCTTATCTAGCTATCTCCCCATCTATATATCAAGGAAAATTCTAGATGTACATAATTTTTGTCCATAAGGGTATACATAATTTTTGTCCATAAGGGTATCAATGCCTCTCACATGGGGTGGGGCCTACAAAAGTGTGGACCCCACCCCATGTGAGAGGCATGGACACCTTGATGTACAAAAATTATATACATCAAGCAAAGTCCATATATCAATTGACCCATAGATCTCTCTCTCTACATATGGTCACTCCTACATAAAGAAGCAAACACCATGAATGTTTTGTTTGATAGTGGATATATTTTCTCGGAATTCTAATTGTAATTTTAAAAATCTATTCAACCTTCAGGGGCCTGGGGAGTAACAGGTTTAACGGGACCATTCCAGCAGAACTAGGGAAGCTGGTCAATTTAAAACATCTGTAAGACGTTTTCGATCATCCAGATTTTAACAAATTGACGGATTGAATTAGTTGAATTTATATAGGTAGATTACGAAAACGAGGTTCAAAGGTGTTGGTGAGATCAGTTTAGAGATGACGATTAGACGAAACTAGATGTTGGAATATCGCAAAAACTCGAACTTAAAACAATACCGGCTTCAAGGCATATAACAAATATCTCTTTCCTTAAGATGTTATTTGTTTCCACCATTCTGTGATGCACACGGAATGCAAATACGTCTATAGGATATAATGAAGCCCTTTAGTGTTGTTTGGGATTTCTTACGAAGACAACCCGAACAGTGGAAAATCTACTCAAAATTTCCACTTTATATCTGCAGTATGATAAATACAAACAATATTCAAGAAGATATGAATGCACTAAAGTTGGTATTTTGGATGCAAGAAAGTGTAGAAAATGGTAGAGTAAAAACGAATTAAAATTATATTACACATCTTCCCAAGAGTTACAACACTTCAAGATAATTATTAGAGTTTGAACTACATCAATACAAACTGAAAAAAATTGAATTCTAACCATCAAACATCAGTTAGGGACGAAAAGACACCATTGTTGTCGCTTGGCAGCACGGGTGCACTAGCCAACAGTTCACCTGCATCAACAAGGCAGAGTACCTACGCTTCAATTACTCAACTAGCGCAGGTGCACTAGCCTTGGGCGTACCTGTGCTAATTTATGTTGCAAACTAGTGCAAGTTTTGGTCCGTTTTGTCATCTCTTGTTCTTGTCCTATCTTGATCCAACGCTTCTTGAAGTATTTCCTTGATTTAAACTACCAATGTCTAAACGGCGTTTTTTTGAAAATTATTTCAACAATTCTCTACAATTTCCAAAATGAGTGATAGTTTTACAATCTATCATATAGACATCACAAACTCTATGCATAGACCAAATATTAACCAAAGCGATATGGTAGACAAGCTTTGAACCAACAACCCTATATGGCTAAGCGAAAAACTTCATATACAAGTTTTATATCCTCGTGTGTTCATATAAATCAACATGTAAATACGCCACGTGTCCCATATCCTTAATTTTCAAGAATATCTTAAGTAGCTAGTCAAGACACTTTGGAGATAAACCATCATCGACACTCATGGAGATAGACTTATTGTTATCAAACGAAGATGATACCGGATTAATCCAATACCAAACTATCGGGGAAAATAGGAGATTGTAGCCACAATATGAAGTAATTAATCACAAGACCAAAATAATTTGTAGAGAATGGAAATTTTATTATAATATGAAAAAATAATACAAAGATTTGTGTTTACAATGTTTCTAACTTCTTCTAAATCATAATGAAAAGCTAACTATATATAAGGAATAAATAGGGGCACGTTCAAATCCTAATAGTAGAGTTGTGGCTGAAGTAGAGAAAGAAAAATCACACCAGGTGAAACAAAGTAGGTAGCGTCGTGGTGCTGTGGATCCCACTCTCAGGTCCTTTACTTCAAAAACTTGATTTTCTTCATCACAATATTCTATTCAAGTTTAACACAAATTTCAATTCATAATGGGCTTTCAAGTAGAACTTTAACTAGAATTTGCCAAGTAAACTTGAATAGAATTCCACAAAACAGTCCAAAAAGAATTTTTCCTAATGTGCACTTTAATTAGAACTCTCAATTATCTTCAACAAAGAATTCGGGTCACAGCCAAATTCTAACAATCTCTATCTTGACACGAATTCCACTACAATGAATAAAACTTCAAAAGAAAAAAATTCTCCACTTGAAGACAAATTCCACTACAAGGAAAAAACTTCAAATATTCACTGAAGGACACAAACGAACTTCTCCATAAAAAAATTCAACCGAAACATTCTCCACCTCTACTACCTCAATTAAAGGAGAAAGTAAACTAATGACCACCAAACAAGGTTGAAACAAGCCCCTATAATAGAATTACAACTGAATACATTAAAAGAAGGATCTTGGCTAGAATCAACACCTTTAATCACATTCAAACCATCAACTAAATCAATAGAATTGTATCTATGTGAAATATTATGGCCAAAGATAGGTTTATTACAAGCAACTAAATACAATGACACCATCGATGATGGTGGTAAGGCGGATTTACCTATAACTTCTAAATTCAACTGAGATGTATTCTTAAAAAAAAAAAAAAAGCCTAAAATTAGGCTCCAACAATATAGAATCCAACTCCAAATCCACCTGAGTTCTTAAAATATGCTGATTGCTCAAAAATTCTATATAACACTGCAAGATATTTAAATGGAATTTTCTATATCCCTTTAACAAAACACATGCTGATTTACTAACTTTCAGGACTCCACCTTCAAAAGTATAACTGTACTCTTTTGAATCAAGAGTACTTAAGGAGATAAGATTTTTATTCAAATCTAGAACACACCTCACTGCATTAAGTGTTCTAACCTTCCCATCAAACATCTTTATTTTAATTCGACAATGTGTATTATTACCCATCATTACAATACCTTTTAAAACTTCTTCATATGTTGAAAACAAATCTCGATTAGGAGTCATATAAAAAGTGCAAGCAGCATAAAAAATCCAAGCCTCGTTAAATTTGGAGTTGTAGTTAGACATAAGTAAAAGCTCTCCATCATTGTTAGGATTTTTTTTGCAATACTTGTTTTTCCTAAAATTTCTGATTGTTTATTTGCAGTCAATTTTGATTTATTCTACAACTTATAACAATCATTTATCTAGTGCCCCCCTTTTTTGTAATAATTATAAAATTTGAAGTTAGATTTTTGACTTATCCTTTGAATGACCACCATCAACAATGAAGTCATCTCAAAGACTCTCATATGCAACAAGAGACTTCATCTTCTCCTTTGAATATAGAACATCATAGATTTCTTCGTTGGTGAGAATATCACAATTATATAAAATTGTGTCTCTAAAAGACATGTATGAAGTGGACAATGAACACAATAAAATCAATCACAAATCTTCTTCATTATATTTGACTTCCAAAGTCTCCAAATTAGCGATGATTTCCTTAAAGGTAGCTATAGCTGCTGCTATAGATTGGGACCTCTTACAATTGGATGTCAACAATGCTTTTTTACACGGTGATTTGAATGAGAAAATATACATGAAAATTCGGCAAAGGGCACAATATGGTATGCTGGCTGAACAAGTCTTTATACGGCTTAAAACTAGCCTCAAGGCAATGGTTCACTAAGTTCTCAGATTTTTCACTCTTTACCAGAAATAGAAATGGCTCTTTTGTTGCTCTTCTAGTATATGTGGATGACATTGTCTTGACAGGAAATGATTTGCAAGGCATGAATGATTTGAAGGCTTCTCTTGATATGAAATTCAAGATAAAGGATCTAGGGGCATTGAAATATTTCCTAGGACTGGAGGTGGCTAGGTCTAAGATGGGAATTTCTTTGTGTAAAAAAATATTTGCCATAGACATTTTAGAAGATGTTGGCTTCAGTGGTGCTAAACCAACAAACACACCAATGGAGTTGAACATTAAACTGGACAAAGAAAGTGAAGAATTATTGAATGATGCATCAATCTACAGGAGGCTGGTGGGACGGTTATTATACTTAACCATTACTAGGCCTGATTTGAGTTATGTGGTTCAAGTGTTAAGTCAGTTTATAAACCAACCAAGGAAACCTCATTTGAATGCAACTTATAGGGTATTGAGATATATCAAGAGCATGCCAGGACAGAGGATTTTCTTCCCTAAAGAAAATGACTTACGGTTGAAAATCTTTTCATATTCAGATTGGGCAAGTTGCCCTGATTTAAGGAGGTCTATAACTAGATATTGTTCCTTTTTAGGAAATGCTTTAATATCCTGGAAGTCTAATAAGCAAAGTATAGTTTTCAGATCTTCAGTAGAAGCTAAATACCGTGCTATGGCATTTGCTACATGCAAAGTTCAATGGCTTTTATACCTACTAGCTGACTTGGGAATCAAACATAAGAAGCTTGCATTGTTATATTGTGATAATCAAGCTGCATTACACATCGCTGTCAACCCTATATTTCACGAGATAACAAAACATATCGAACTAGATTGTCACTTAGTAAGGGACAAGATTAAGGCTGGAATTTTACACACCATGCATGTCTCTTTAGGTAATCAACTAGCAGATATTATGACAAAACCAGTGGGAGTATCTCTGTTTCATTCTCTACTGTGCAAGATGAATATGTGCAACATATACACTCCACCTTGAAGGGGGCTGTTGAGATTACCAGAAGAAGCTGACATGGAAGTGAGCTGAAGAATTAGATAGTTTAGTTGAAATTTTCAAAAAGTGTGCAGCTGTAAACAACTATAATTAGTGCTGCATTTTTCCATTCATATTTAAGGACCACATAACGTACAATTAGCGAGACTTTTATCTTCAATACACAGAAACTTTCCTATTCATTTTTGCTATTTACGTTCTCTAAAAATGTAAGTTCTTACAGCTGCTGGCTTAATCTCAAGGCTGCCCAGCACAAGCAGCGTATCTGCGCCAACCAAGCAAACTAGTGCAGGTGGACAACATGGTAGCGCACCTGCGCGAACCAGGAAGCACAAGAGCACTTCCATGTTGCCCACCTGCACTAGTTTGCTTTGCAAACTGGCTCAAGTTTTCGTCCGTTCCTACGTCTCTCGTTCTTGTCACATCTTGATCAAGTGCTTTTTGAATTGTATTTCCTTGATTTAATTTACCAATGTCTAAACGACATTCTTTTGAAAATTACTCCAACAAAAGGTTAGAAATAGTGGCTGTAATTTACCCATTTATGTACGTGTAACTTGTCTTTTTTGGTCACTGCAGCTATCTATATGATAACAATCTCACTGGTGAGTTGCCGATTGAATTAAATAATCTAAAAATGTTGACAGACCTGTAAGTATTTTACCACACATTTCTCAAAGCATAAAGTTTTTTAATCTGGAAAGGTGCAAACAGTTTTCTGCTATTTTAATGATAACATGTCTTTTGGGGCCAATGCAGTTGGCTAATCAGTAACAACTTCACTGGAAAATTACCTAATTTTCGGAGCTGGACAAACCTTAAGAGCTTGTAAGTCCTTTCCTGAATGAGCATTTTCCAAAATGCAATATTTACAGTTGCGACTTTTGTTTACGTGACATTATTAATTTATTATCAACAGAGTGATAAAAGGCAGTGGTTTTGAAGGACCCATACCTCCTAGTATTTCCATCTTAAAAAATTTAGAGGAACTGTGAGTTGAAACCTATTCAGTCAGATTTCAGTTTGTCAATACTTCAATAACAATATTTTGTTCATTTACTATACATTGATGGTAAAGATGACAACTGATGTAATGTGATATCTCTACAGAATTATTAGTAACTTGAATGGAGGTGCTTCAGAGTTCCCACTGCTAAAAGACATGAGAAACCTTACGTATTTGTGAGTAAATGTCACACTAAATCAATAAAGAACTTAGAAGATTGTGATAATTTCCTTTAGAACCATATTATTTTATACATATGTTGCGTGCTAGCAGGACGTTAAGTAGCTGTAACATAACTGGAAGCATTCCTAATTACCTTGCAGACATTGGATCAATGAAGGCTATGTAAGTACTGATTCTAGTAGTAGTACCTATTTTCTTCTTTTTACAATTACACTCCACATCATAATTGTTTCAATATTCTCGTGACTAAATGCCAACTCTATGAGTTACTTAAAAAGAATATACCCAGCAGCTCGTAGTCCTGGACTCCCTCTAGCATTTTAGTTGTTTTCTTTTCACATTTAGAAGAGCTAATTTTTTATGAGATTTAAAGTTAAAGAATTGTGTAAACTTTTAACACAACTACAGTTCTTATTTCATCTTCTTTCATTCTAGAAATAACCATTTATTTGGGAGGCATCGGAAATTTCTGTCAGTGGAATATAAGGAAAGCTCATATATAAGGAAGCTACCGTATTTCATAAGTTACCATTAATGATTAATTGTAATTGATAGCTAGAATATTTAGTTTTTTTTTTTATTTCAATATAACGAGAGAACCTCTTATATTGAGGGGCATTAAGCCTTACTGATTATGACTGAGTATATTCGAATATCATATAGATTAGAACTCAATTCATCCTCAAGTGATTTTTCTATTCTTTCTCCCTAATTACACCATCGACAACCGTCTCAACAGTGGGCGGAGGTAGAGCAGCCAAAGTAATAGCGACCTGAAGACTGGGAGAGAGCACTTAACCCTAAGAAATAATTAGTTCAATTGTTTAGCACAGAAGAAATAGGTTATGTCGCTCCTATTGATATTTAGGCATTCACGGTGAGATAAAAGATGAATTGTGTGCCTGCCACCAAACTAAGTTAAGTACTTCACCAAAGCAGTGGAGCAATTAATCTGCGAAGAGTTTCAAGCAATATATGTTGTCGAAAATTCGACTAACGCAATCAAAAGAAAAAATAAAATAAGCAGAAAAATAAACAGTAAATGAAGCGAGGTATGCTAATAAAGTAAGCAAATCTCCTTAAGACAGATTTCGCCTCCCAATAAAGTGCAAACGGGATTATGGACGTCTGTCTCCCAAGATACAACGCTCCTTCCAAAGTCGATACTGCACAATACCAACCTTGTCGGTCGAACCAATGAATGATCGTACTTGAACGGAATAACCACGAAAGTATAAGAGATTTTTTTTTTTTGGAGACGAATATGGAGAGAGAAGAATTTAGAAATCAATTGAATTCGTAATTGATTTGGTGTATCAAAAAACGAATCTGGGGGTCCCTATTTATAGAGATTGAAGTGTCTCATGGAACAGGTGTGTGACATTTCAGGAACTGGTGCACCACTTGGTTTGATTCGTCTTAGCCATTGGATCGCACTATTTTTATGTTCTGACGGCCCAAATTGAACCATGAAGTGAAGTGTCCATTCATCATGCCTATTCACCAATTTCTGAATAGTCACAGCCATGCGGATGCCACGCGTACATCTAACCGCCATGCAGGATGAAGGGACGCGACCTACCACTCGTGCGCCACCTAGAATGCTGACCACTCGTGCGCCACTAGAATGCCAACTCACCGAGCCTTGTGTTGCCACCTCATCGAACCACGAGTCCATTTCCGAAAACTATAAGGCTCCCCAGCTCCTCGCGACGATGCGTACGTGCCAAGTGCGCCTCTAAAGCGCCCAATGCGTACTTTGTGACGTGCGCGTATACGTGCCGGGACCGGGTCCGGGGAGCGGTGCTAGTGGTGCGAAGCACCACTCCAGTGGTGACTAGCCTTTGGCTAGTTTGCTAGCCTTTGGCTAGCTAAAGTTAGCCAAGTGGTAGGTAACATGTTAAATTATATATTATTCACACAACCCACTATATAAACAAGACTATTTTCTTGTAAACTTTCGATGTGGGACTCCTTTCCATATAAAAAACACTTAAAATGGGCTTATCAACATATGGGCCTATATTGGAGACTTTTCCAATTCACCCAAATTAATTGCAATGGCCCATATCATTAAATATTACATTTAATATTTTAAACCCAAATCAAACCCAAATCAAATTCAATTAATTCCAACAATCCCCCACATGAATGGAAGAAGTCGACTCAGATCAAGGAAGACGAAAGAAGAGTACTATCTGAAAGATAACGCATCAAGATAGGTAGCTTTCGCTTTGAACCTTCTTTAGTAAGAATCTATCGAACTCACTTGGCTAATCAGTGAACGTAACGTTTTGAACTGTCAGCCGTTATTGCAAGCTCAGACAACAGACCAAACACATTATCTCTCATATCAAACTTGGTTCTCTATTGTGTTCATTATTTCGGCCCTGAACTACTTGGGTTCTGCGAGTGCTTTAGAGAATTCGCCTAAGTAAATTCTCATAGAACCGGCCAAGTTCGCACTAACATAGGTGATGCACTATAAAGAGTATCCTACTGTAATTATTTGTACCATTTATAGTCATCATTAAAAGCAAAGCTTATCCTTAATACACTTCATAGCACTTTTTGCATCATAGAAATGGGAAGGAGTTAAACTCCTAAGTGCTTCTTATCGAGTCATTCATAATTAGTTTTCCTATTGAACCTAGTCCATGGGATCTCCAGTTGCCAGGTTAGGTTTCCACTAAGATGACTCATTGGGTTTTAGGCTTTAAACCCATTTCCCTCGATGCGCAGTCTATACGCTCTCTAGAAAATCCTTTAGTGAACGGATCCGCTAGGTTTTCTTTTGACTTAACAAAATCAATTGATATTGTTCCATTTGAGAGCAACTACCGAACGGTGTTATGTCTGCGACGTATATGTCTCGACTTACCGTTATACACAAAATTTTCAGCCCTGGCTATTGTGGCCTGGTTATCACAATGAATACAGATAGCCGGTACAGGCTTTAACCATATAGGAATATCTTCTATGAAATGTCTTAACCATTCTGCTTCTTCTCCTGCTTTGTCTAAAGCAATAAACTCAGATTCCATAGTAGATCGAGCTATACACGTTTGCTTAGAAAATTTCCATGATATAGCGCCACCACCGAGAGTAAATACATAGCCACTGGTAGATTTTGACTCGTCTGTATCTGATATCCAATTGGCATCACTATATCCTTCAATTACTGGAGGATATTTTCCATAATGTAATGAATACTCTCTGGTCCGTTTCAAGTATCCCAAAACTCTAAGTAATGCATCCCAATGTTGATTACTTGGATTATTTGTGTAACGACTCAGCTTACTTATCGAGTAAGCTATATCAGGTCTTGTACAATTCATCAGGTACATTAAACTACCAATAATTTGGGAATATTCTAACTGCTGTTTCCCATTTCCACTATTCTTGTGAAGAACTATATGTGGAAGAAATGGGTTACTCGTCTCTTTAATATTATGAGTCTTAAACCTCTCAATTATTTTATCAACATAATGGGTTTGAGATAAGACTATTCCATTTGATGTTCTAGATATCTTTATTCCTAGAATCACGTCTGCTTCACCCATATCTTTCATGTCAAAGTTATTGGTAAGTATATTCTTTGTTCTATTGATGACTTCAATATTAGTCCCTAATATAAGCATGTCATCAACATACAAGCAGACGAGTACGTAAGCCTTTTCGAATTTTTTCGAATATACGCATTTGTCACATCCATTTATGACGAATCCATTCCTAATCATGACGCTGTCAAACTTTTCGTGCCATTGTTTAGGAGCTTGCTTCAAACCGTATAAGGACTTAACTAGTTTGCAAACTTTGTTTTCTTGTCCTTTCACTATGAAACCTTCTGGCTGTTCCATATATACTTCTTCGTTTAAATCACCATTCAGGAATGCAGTCTTAACATCCATTTGATGTATTTGTAAGTTGTACAAGGCTGCAGTAGCAATTAAAACCCGAATAGAAGTAATTCTTGTTACTGGAGAATATGTGTCAAAGAAATCAATTCTTTCTTTCTGACGATATCCTTTTGCAACCAGTCGAGCCTTGTATTTGTCTATTGAACCATCAGATCTTAACTTTGTTTTAAAGATCCATTTGCATCCTATTGGTTTAGTTCCCTTAGGAAGATCAACCAATTGCCAAGTATTATTATTCATAATAGATTCAATTTCACTATTTATAGCTTCCTTCCAGAATACGGATTCTGGACTAGTCACAGCTTCTTTAAATGTTTGGGGCTCTTTCTCAATTACGAAAGAAATAAAGTCTGGACCAAAAGATTTAGCGACCTTTGCTCTTTTACTCCTTCTTGATTCAGGTTCTATATTGTTTTCAATAGCATTATCTCGTGTTCTCTTTAGAGTATTCTCACGAATATCTCTTTTATTAGGGAACACATCTTCAAAGAATTCAGCATCTCGAGATTCAAAAATTGTATTGACATGAATGTCACTTATATTAGATTTATGCACAAGAAATCTGTACGCACTACTATTTATTGCATATCCGATAAAAATGCAATCAATAGTTTTAGGACCTAACTTAATCCTTTTGGGAGGTGGAATAGCCACTTTAGCTAGGCACCCCCACACTTTTAAGTATTTATAGGAAGGCATTCTACCTTTCCATAACTCATAAGGTATTGAACCATTTTCTTATGGGAAACTCTATTCAGAATAAAGTTAGCAGTTAGCACTGCTTCCCCCCACAAGTTTTGTGGTAATCCAAAACTTATAAGCATAGCATTAACCATTTCTTTTAGAGTTCTATTTTTCCTCTCAGCAATCCCATTTTGCTGCGGAGTATACGGGGCTATTGTTTGGTGAATAATACCAAACTGAGCACATAATTCATCAAACATGGACGAATCATATTCACCACCTCTATCGGATCTTAATACCTTAATTGTTTTTCCAAGTTGATTTTCAACTTCTTTTTTGTAAGTAACAAATGCATTCAATGCTTCGTCTTTGCTACTTAATAAATAAACTTGGCAATATCTACTGTGATCATCTATAAATGTGATAAAGTATTTTTTACCACTTCGAGTCTGAACAAATTTTAGATCACAAATATCGCTATGTATTAAACACAACGGTTCACTACTCCTTTCAATTGTGTTAAAAGGTTTTTTTAGCAAATTTTGCTTCAACACAAATTTCACATTTATGTTTATTTTCGGAGTCAAGTTTAGGTATAAGACCTAAACCTACAAGTTTTCTTAAGGAAGCACGATTTACATGTCCTAATCTGCTATACCATAAATTTGAAGATTCAAGCAAGTAAACAGAAGCATTAGTTTTATTGATAACTTGTGGATACAGATATGTGGATTTTTTGTCCACTACAACAGCATTGGCCTTAAATAGACCATCAAGTAAATAACCCTTCCCAACATACATGCCCCCCTTAGTAAGTACAAATCTA